AAACAGCAGTAAGCAAGCGATTGGCTAATGGTGGTTTTAAATCATTGAGCCATGTTTGTATAGTTCTGTTACCTCCATGTGGGCTGCTAGTATGTCTAAGAAACCTGCAGTCACGTAAGATGAGCTTTGAGCTATAGGCAGTAGAAAACTGTGCCACCTGTATGTGATGAACTTAAGCTTGATTTTCACCAGATTGATTGTTTTTCCGCTCTTACACGCAAAACAATTGATGCCGTCATGAAAGGAACATCGCTGGCATCAACTCTTCTAAAGTGTAATCGCACTTTTTGTTTTCCCTAAGAGCAGAGTCAGTGTATGTGTGTTGCATGGCGGTACAGCATGTGAAGGAGAGCATCACAGACCAATTAGAAACCAATAAAAGGCGCAAGAAAATGTTTATATAGCATTAACAAATAGGACTTTCCTGCCCCAGGCCTGTTTATTACTATCAGTATCCATTGCCAGTCCTTGAAGTTTTAAGGTGGCGCCTCCATGGATTGGACTTGCTTTTCCAAATCTGGGGAATTTGTTGGCCAACTCAACACCTTAAACTCATTGTTATGTTCCTCAGAGCATTTCTAAACAATGTTTGCGCATAGTTTTGCCCACCAACCCGTTGTTATGAAGCTGGATTAGAACAATGTTTAGGTTGGTGGTACATGTCAACAGCCTTATGAATGGCAGGACTCAAGGTTTTCCAGCAAATCATTACTTGGAAAATCATGCTGCCTCTACCAGAATATGTCAAAGAATCCAAGGCATGGATGCAGTCTCCAAACTCCCCAGATCCCAGTTCAATTGAACGTCTACGGCATTTACCAAACAAGTTCAATCAACGGAGGTCTCACCCCGCCACCCTCAAGACCGAAAGGATCTGTTGGCAGGATCTAGGTCAGACATGACAGGACATCCCCAGACGTCCCAGGTCCATGGCCACAGCTGTTTTGGTGACACAAAGCAGGAACAGAGGCAGCCAGTCACACTTTTTCCCTCCAGTCACTCACTACTTCAGTCCATCCTACCCACTTAACGCAACTTCTAACTGAAGCAGCGTCCATTCAGTCGGCCTGCTCTATGCTCACCACTACACCAGCCTCTACAGATCTGCAAATCATCTCCACCTTCTCCACCTTTAAAGATTTCACATCATACCCCTCAACAAGTCGACGGAGAGAGACGACGCCACACCTCTCTTCATCTGCTCTGTTCAGGCAATGGGAGGAGGAGGAGGAGGACGAGAAGCCAGCTGGGGTCACTGCGTGTCCTCTCATGACATTGCAACACGCCTTCTAAACTATGGACAGAAACAAGGTTGTGGTTGTTTCTCTAATTTTGTGGGACTGTAGAAACACAGATGACTCATATTCGTGTTCGACAACAATGAAAAACTAGATTTTGCATAATGTGGCCCATTTAGTGATGGTGTCCTTGTTCATACTGTGTTCATTTAAATGTTTTGAAGCTACATGATCTCAGGGGCTGCAGGTGTCATGCTTGCTCAGATTCTTCCTGAGCATCACTCAAACACAAAAGCATGTTGTTAAAATAGTTAAATCTGACTGTCCCACCTGAAACACTCTTTGTTTCTCAGAAAAACACCCTCAAACTGCACACACTCAATGGTTGGTTGTCTAATAGTTTCTGTAGTCTTTAAACACAGACAGCCTGTTGAAGACGGAGTAGAATTTTTATCTCTAACTAATCATCAAACCGCTTAGAATCTTTGCAAATGCAACTCCTCGTAACGGCTGGTGAATCACCTGGCAAGAGGACTCAGTGGCACAGCTCCGTCTGACTCAAGATTACAGGAAAAAAGAAAACTCTTTACTTGCAGGAGTCGGTTGGAAGATCGAGCAAACAATATCCAGCAAAGAAAAAACAAAGGAAAGAACTAGAAGAGATCAAAAACACCACGTGAACTATTCACTGGGGGGGAAACAAGACTGGAACACTTGACACTGGGTACAAAGACAAACTGGCACCAAAGAGGGGAACACACAGAACTAATGCACCAGGGAGGGAAGGATAATGAGGGACAGAGGAAGCTAAACGGGTCAGAAGAGGCAATCAGACAAGGGCAGGAAGTGAAATGTCTGAAACATGAATGAAAACATATAATCAAAGGAGCAGAGCGGGACGCCACACTGCTGGGATGGACTGTCCACCTCAGCAGGTAGTGACCCTGCCACGGCGGCAACAGTATATATCTACGCGGTGTGTCGGAGAAGTTCCAGGACTGGTGTCACAGAAGATATATTTCAAATTCAACCTACAAACTACTTTCACCTTCAAACTACTTTCACCTTCAAAGTAATCCCCCTGGAGTCTAACACACTTTCCCAGCCTTCTCATGCACTCCTGGAAGGATTCTTCCGGGATCCTGCGCAGCTCTGTCGTCACAACCATCTTGATGTCGTCTTCAAAACGGATCCCCTTGATGACCTCCTTGAGCTTGGGGAAAAGAAAACATCCCACAGAGCCAGGTGGGGCGAGTAGGGAGGTTGCTCCAGCACGGCGATGTTCTTCTCAGTCAGGAACTGTCGGATGATCAGGGCATTGTGAGCAGGCTTGTTGTCATGATGAAGCAGCCATGACTTGTCCTGCCACAACTCTGGCCTCTTCTCACGCACTGAACGAAGCAAACACTGCAGGATCTCTTTGTAGACGTGCTGGTTGATCATCTGAAGGGGAAAACTGGTAGTTTGTAGTTTGGGTTTGAAATCAATCTTTTATGACACATCTAGTATGTTCTGGTGATGTGTTCTGAGGATGATAGTGTCTGTTGGTCCATGACCTCTGCTCATATTGATATGTCTCAGCACCTGTCCCAAAATAAAAATGAGTTCCATTCATAGACTGTATAAAAGATGGACGTAGCTACCGTGACGTCACCCGTTGGTTTCTGCACTGATAAAATGAAGCCAGGGTTTTGCTACTTCCTGGTTGACATCTTGGATTTTTGGAGCCAGTGATGCAAAAATCGTCGGAGGGGGGCGGAGCCATAGGACCAATGATTGGTCAGACGGATTGAGAGGCGGGCCCTCTCTGCCCGCCCACATTTGCCGCCTTCTGCTCGCTTCATCTACTCAAACCAGCCACACCCCTTGCCCTACAAAATTTTGACAATTTTTTAAAAATTCAGTATTGATTTATTGTCAGATTGGCCACCTGATCTCTGGACTTGACCATGAAAACTAATGAGAAAAAAATCCTGAGCTGTAGGAATGCAGTATTTCGTGATCTGTGATCACTTCTTTTCCGATTCCAGTCTATGGGAGCCAGGGCTTTTTGGAGCCAGCAACTGGCGGACGAAGTGATATTGCAGGTTTTTGACACTTCCGGGTTGGCTTCATTTTTCAGGGCCGGTTGCTACGTCCATCTTTTATACAGTCTATGGTTCCATTTCGCTGCTTCAGTTTTGGGGCCATGGTACCGCTCATGGTGACCCACAGGCACACTGAGCCGTTGTTGTCGTCATTAATAGCACCAATGTGTTTCCTATTATGAAGTTAAATTGTCTGCTTTGGAAAAAGCCCAACTGGATTTTCTCTTCCATCTAATAACTTTTAATTTATTGGCATCAACAAATTTTTAATTTGCCCAATATTTGGTTTATGAGTTAGCACGACTGTCAAGTTATGTGGTTTTTATTCTGCTAGTAAGTCTCAATATAATTAAATAAAGCTGATTAAAAAAAAAAAAAAAAAGCTGAAATTTGTATGTTTGGATCAGCCGTGAGAAAGATAATTTCTTTTTCCCCAGCCTCTCTGGGTATTCCAGGGCTGGTTTACTAATATCCTGGAGCTCAGACTATTACAAAATATTGGATATTGTAATGGTCTCAAAGCTTCAGTTTGTGTTCAGTTGAAATGTGGATGTGAGAGCAAAGAGATTCAATAAAACTAGGTTGTTTTTTTTGTTTTAATTGTTCTGTTTTGGGTTTTCACAGTGATTAATGATTAACAGCGCTAACACATCAAGACGTAATGTTTTACAAAGTTAAGCATGACATTACGTGATTATCAAGGGACTTAAATGTGCTGAATCTGTGCATGCACTGACAGGCTTTATGTGATTGTTACCCGAGGCTCAGCCATAGATTTAGAATTGGCCGCTGAAGCATCCAACACAATCTGTGCACCAAATATGAAAAGAACTTAATGATCCACTAATTAATTTCTCGAATCGTAAAGGAGCTTTTCTCTGAATCTAAAAAAAAAAAAGAAGAGAGAAGTCTCTGCTTTCACTTGTGATAATTTAATACCGTTCCGCGGGATGCAATTTTTCATTGCTCACAAGGTCTGCAAAGATCATGTTCTGTATTTATTATGCAGAAGGCTCATCCCGCTGTGCTCGCATACAGGAGGTGTCAGTTTTGCGTTTCTTCCTCCCTGTTTTTGAATTCACTCTTGATTATGTCATTATGTGGCAGCCGCATATTTGGCTGCGCCTGCCAGCGATATCTCCAAGAGCCACGGCAGGCAAGAAGCGACAAAGTGTTCAAGGATTGCTGTCTCTATTTACTTTCTCTCAGCAGGTTGTCAACAAGCAATCGGTCTCCATACAAATGATGTTTCAGTCTTAGTCATTTAATTGTTGCCGGTCTGTGTGCAGTGGATGAAACACAGAAAGTGATAACAATACGCTGTTCCAATTAAATTCACTCATGTGTGACTTATACTTGAAGAATTGCTTTCTGCTCCAGTCAGAAGTGTTTAGGACTTTATAGCACCAGGTCTACAGTTTTTTTTTTTTCTTCTCTTTTGCAAACCACACCATGCTAAAGTTGTGTATCATAATGCTCTGTTGGACTCTGGTCAGTAGCTGTAGCTCTAACTAGATATGAAATTACCGGGCAACCACAGATATGACTTGTAATGCATTTTTTATCTCTGTAAACAACACTGAGGCTTGTTGTACGTGCGTCCTGTGTGCTCATAGCTTTTGTGAGGAATGAAATCATTATTTTTGCCTTATTGCTTTTGTCTTGCGGTAAACAGACTTGGAGAATTTCAAGACCCAGAGAAGAAGTCCGGTGAGGGTTCGCGAAGGTCAAGGAGTGGTCTTGCTGTGCGGCCCGCCCCCCCACTCCGGAGGTAAGGTCGAAGTTTTTTTATTTTTCTTAGGATGGTTTTTATTTCCATCTCTACATTAAAGTGCTGTTTGAAGCTAAGAGTCACGGAAACGACGACGTGGTATCAGATCCCTGATTGCTCATCAGCTCCTTTGTCTGGACAAAGTGAAAGTCGTGTTTGTCTTCTCCTGATCGAATCACCTGGCTGTTTTTCTGTGGTGGTGAAGTCAGCGGAGTGACTCATTTTTTACTTGGGGACACTCCGGCCTGTCAGTCTGATTTTCACTGGGGGCGAGGAGAAACTTTGGCATGCAGACTGGAGAGGTTGTCTGTGACTGGGGCCCTGCCAGGCTGAGTAATAGAGCTTCTCTCTGAAGGTGCTTTGTTTGCTTCGCATCATCCCTTTGCATCCGTGATATTATCAATGGGAGTTAGCATCCAGTGCTATTAACTTCTACACAGCGGTCTTCAGATGGGCTTTTTGCCAGTGAAGCTCAAAGTATTTTTCCACATTCAGAGAATCTGAATGCAGCGCAACACACCGCACACAGCAGGGAGCGAGTGGAGTTTTCAGTCCTTATATCTAAAGATCAGTTGTAAAGTCCACAGTGATAGTGTTTTTAGTTTGAAGATGCACTGGTTCGGACCAAACCGACTCTGTTATACGCCTGGTTAAATCTCTTCTGGTATGTCTGGTATGTGTTCCTTCAATGTCTTTTGTTGGGATCATGCCAATTTGTTAATATCGTGTTTTACTTCATTTTTTGTTGCCCACATTTAATGATTGCAATCAAACTGGCAGAGCTGCTTTTAAGTATCTTTGAACTAAGTCCAAATCACGCCTCAAGTCTTTCAGATGCAACGCGCAACTCAAAATCACACCAAATGCTTATTTTTAAAGGGAAGCAGGGCAGCTGCGAGTGTGAATCAAAACACGTGTATGTGTCAAATAATTCACTGAGAAACTTCGACTTCCAGTCCTTTTTTTTTTTTTACATAGAATTCTTGTGAAAACTAAAGTGTACTGCATGTTAAAAGGAAAAGCTGGTATAACAGGAAGCCAAGCTAAACCTGTAGCTCGTCAGTAAAACTTAACAGTTGTTGACTAAAGTTGCTTTTAATTTCCCTCTGGTACGGTTGACTAAAAATGTGTAATGTTGTTGTTATGCACACATTTTACATTCAGCATTCAGTTGTTGTTGTTGTTGTTCTTCCTCTTCTTATTATTCTTTTAGTTTCTTTTTCTTAATAAATCAGATGGGGGAGGGTTTTTTTTATTCTTACTTTTTTTTAATTTTGTTTTTAAATTTAGGCAAATAGGGATCTTGTCAATCATGTTGAAAGTCATTTGCTTGCAGGTTTGTCAGCAGAAAGTCTGACAAGGTCCCAGCTTCCCCAAATGTACAAGAATCATTTCTAGAACTTTACATATATTTGGAAATATTGTTCAAAAGAGCTAAAAAATGTAATAACCAAAAAAAGAAAATTCAACTGACAGTAATTCCTTTTTTTAAAATGTTGGTGTTTTTTTTTTTTATATATTGGACTTTTAGGCTTTTTATTCCTTTATTATAAAATTAAGCAAATTATTGTATTATATACATGTTGAAATATTGCAATGTACACAACTACAAATAAACTTAAAAAAAAAATGTTAAATGTAAATATAGGTGTAAAGTGTCAGTTAGATTTATAACGATTCAAAAACAAAACAAAACAAAAACCTCCAGCAACATTTTCTTGTAATTAG